TCAAACCAAACGGCATCACCAAGAACTCGTTCAAACCAAACGGTGTACGAAAATCAGTCTTAGGAATATCTTCGTTGGCCATCGGTACTTGCCAGTACCCAGAAGCAAGATCTAGCTTGGTGAACCAACGACTTCGCCCCAGACGATCCAAAAAATCAACAGTGTGAAGAAGAGGGTACACATCTGGGATCGTCACTTCATTTAACAGACAATAGTCGATGTAGAAACGAATACTCCCATCAGGCTTTGTCACAAGATGAGGTTCACATGCCCAAGGACTCTGCGACTTCCGAATAACACCCTTCTCCAACATGTCCTTGATGTTTGCATATAAAATCTTGATCTCCTTGGGTGACCGACAATGAACAAGAACCTTGATTGGATGAGCATCCCCGGCTGGAATGGGATGACGTGTGGCAATCTTGGCCCCAGACGATAGGTCAAATTCAAAGAAATCAAAATACTCCTTCATGAGCTGGTCAATAGCTGCAACACAAAGATCATCAGAGGGATCGGAAAAGGGAAGAGCAGAACAAGATGGAAACACAAGAGGAAATAGTGGGGGAACAAAAGTAATGGAAGCAGAGGTAGAAGTAAAAGGACGAAGAGGTATGGAAATGAGAGGAATGAATGAAACATGAGGAAGTATGAAACAAGGGGGAGAAGCCTGAAAGTCACACTTGGCATGATTGCGCTGCAACCAATCCATACCAAGAATGAGGTCAAAAGCTTGACTCAGCACTACCTGCAACGACTGCAACTCAAGCTCGAGATCGCCCACATGCACAACCAGGTCCGCCTCATCTCGTGCACATGCATGGGTACGGCCGTTGCCATAAAGAATGAAAACTGGATCCGCCGCACGACGCAAGTGTAGACGACAACGTGTAGCAACAGGTCGAGCAATAGAAGATAAACTCGAACCTATATCAACCAACACAGAAAGAAGAATAGGAGACCTTGTGTTATAAAAATGAGCTTGGAAAGTAAACACTGGATGAACCGGTGCCGAGTGAACCCCTTGATGATACTCCCGAAAGAAAGATGGAGGGGTCACTAACTTATTCGCGCAAGGTCCCTCCGTTACTCGCGCGACTCCTCATTTCCCGGATGCACCTCGGTATCCAAACCTTCCACCGCAGCAGCACCAACGGGACGTTGCTGACGCCAAGGTCTCCACCCAAGAAAGGGAGGTCGCCAATTCGGAAAGCGCCAACAACACCAATAAGTATGACCAACTTCATCACATGCCCAACAACAAACATCACGGCCACGACTATGTCCTCGCCCATGTCCTTGGACTCGAGTAGAGCAGCATCAACCTTCATTGGAACAGGACCATCACTCATAGGAAGGGGAGCGGAAGGATGTGTAGTGAGATGTGGAAGAGGCGACGTCTCATAACGTTGTGCCAAGCGAAGAGCATCGTCAAAGGTGGCAGGAGCAAGTGCATGCACAAGTCCGACAAGATCTTGATGAAGTGCTAGCCACAACGTTCCTAGCTTGATCCGCTCCGACATATTAGGCTCCGCACGAAGCAAAAGACTTCGGAAACGAACACCAAATTGCATCACCGACTTAGATGACCCTTGGCGAAGACGATGCAATTGTTGGAAGGCATCATCACAATCGTCGGCGTGTCCGAAGGCGCATTTGAAGACGTCCGGAAGAACACTCCAATCGCCACGAGTGGCTGTGCTCAATCCATTGTACCACTGCAACGCTGTCCCTTGGAGACATGTAGGGAACTCACACAAACGTCAAGCATCATCCCAAGAATGATATGTGGCAATTATCGTGAAGTGATCGAACCAATGGTACACATCATCCCTAGGATTCCCACGAAAGAACTCCGGCCGAACGCGAGGATTGGCACCAAGAGCAGGAGGAGTTGGACCACATGCCGTGAATGTTGCCATCAATTGAGTTTGGTTGTTCAATTGCAAGTGCATAGCATCAAGCAATTGAACCAACTGCTGCTTTAGAGTCAAAGGAGGAGATTGCGGATCGACCATAAAGATAAACGAAAAAGAAAGAGCAAAAAAAGAGAAATGACAAAAAACTGGAAAGAAATGGTAGATCTAGACAATGCAAAAAGCTAGATCTAAACCAAAATCTTGAAAGGAAAGAACAAAAAAAAAGAAATGGAAAAAGTTAGATTTAAACGATGCAAAAGCTAGATCTAAATTGAAATCCCAAATCCAAACACTCCCTAGGGACAATCAAAGGTGCCCCTCATCTTCACTAATGTGAGTGCATGGAATATGGAAAGGGAATACAGAAATGTGTATATCAATTAGCCCAAAAACCCTAGTTTATATACAGGAGCGAGTGGTCCAGATTGAAACCAATCTGACAGCTACCAAAATCCCACTACGCTAATATTAGTATACGGCATCGTAACCGTACACTTGGCCCTCACATCTAATTAAATATGTATTTATGCCTAATACAAATATCTTCAATACCAATAAATATTTAACCTATTCTAATTCATATAAAATATATTTTAAAACTTTTTGAATTGGTTTTTATAATCGTGGCCAATCTTGCCCAACTCAAAAACCTAGAGCTGTTACTATACTCCTATATTTCCAACTCAAAGAACACGATGAAGTGGCGTGGATGGCGCTCATCACTGGGTTTGCGCGGCAGAAAGATTGCAAGAGTGCAAGCTATGGCATGAAGGTTTACACGATGGTTTAAGAGAAACTCTAGTAAAATGTGTTCGCCCAGCTTCAGCGTACCTTTCTTCTTTATTTCCTCGGCTTGAGACGACTTGGACAAGATCTTAAAGTCGGCAGAGTCCAAAAACTTCCAACACTTTTGCTCAACGCGGCATGTCCATGGAATTCAAGTAATCGCTACTTGTACTCGTTGAGGAGCTCATTACCTGGCCAAAGTGAAAGGGAGCTTGAGTGGGAAGAGCGCCAATCTCGAGATATCCCAGCAACATGGCCACAACGTCACTCATTGTTGGTCGAGCTTCCTCATGTTCTTGCGTACACAGCATGGCAACACGGAGCAGCCTAGAAACCTCGTCCACCGCGTAGTCACCGCCCAGCCTCTTGTCAATGCATTCGCTCATCCTGTTTGCCATGACAAGTTTCCAAGACTGCAGCCATGACAGCATTGGTTATCGGTTCTAATTTGATCGACTTACCAGTTGAAGTAAGAGCTCTTCTTCGGCTGGCAATGCCGGATCCACGCACTTTCTGCCGCTGGCGATCTCCAGGACGAGGATTCCATAGCTGAAGACATCGGCTTTGGCCGTCAATCGCCCTCGACTTGTGTACTCGGGTGCCATGTATCCACTAGAAGAATGGCGTGAGTTTCGTCCAGACTGTGGAAGGAAGAGGAGATCAAACTTACAGTGTGCCGGCCACCTTTGTGCTCGTGAAGCCGAAGCCTTTGTCCAAGTCGAAGAGCTTTGATATCCCAAAGTCGGAGATCTTTGGCTGCAGCTTGTCGTCCAAGAGGATGTTGCTGGCTTTGATGTCTCTGTGGATAACCTGGACATGGGACTCCTCGTGCAAGTAAGCAAGACCACGAGCTATCCCAATGGCGATTTGAAAGCGTGACTGCCAGTCAAGGAACGCATTTGATTCAGAACCTGCGGATAAAGCTTATCGTTAGAAAGAATGGAGAGAAACAAGGATTATTACTGAAGAGTGCTCGGTCAAGGCTGCCTTTGTTGAGGAACTCGTAGACGAGCAGCCTTTCATCTGCCTCAACACAATAGCCTTTGAGCCTTACAAGATTTCGGTGCTGAATTCCCGTGATAATGGTGATCTCGTTCACGAACTCTCTTTTGCCTTGGTTAGACTGCAAGGAGAGCTTCTTCACTGCTACTTGCGAGCCATTGTTTAAGGTGGCCTACAAGAAACAGGATAGTTCTAGGCGTGCAACTTCACAGAATAAAGAACTAACCTTGTAAACAGTTCCAAATCCACCTTGTCCAAGCTTGTTCCTCTTGCTGAAGCTATCAGTGGCTAGAGACAAATCCTGGTACGTGAACACAACAGGACCCTCAATGCTTCCTGTTGTCAACGAAGCAAACCACGTCAAAAACGGGAAGAACACTCGAGAGAAAACAACACTTACTTTGGATGTCGGCATCGTCTCCACGCCTGTGGCGCCCAACCAACTTGGTATGCATCCTCCATCTCCATATGGCAAAGCCAGCAACACCCAAGAGCAAACAAAGCCCCACTGCTCCTCCCACGAGTCCCCATCGCCACACTAGAGCTCTATTGTCTCTAGAAGAGGAACTGGATGCTTGAGCCGGAGGAGAAGAACTTAACGGAGGTATTGGAGCTGGCGCAGGAGCTGAAACATTTGGACCCAGCACCCCCAAGACACCTAAATTTCTCATGTGAGATGCATCCTCCCTTATAGAAACTTACTCATATTGACCAGCTCGGCAGTAAAGTTGTAGTTCTCGAATCTCAAGCGGCAGCGATTGGAGGTGTCGTTGGTCCAAAGCACGCCACCCACGGCAAGAGGAGCCACTTGCCGGAACTCATTGTAGGTCTGCTGGATGCACGAGGCGCAGTTTGTCTGATCCGACATGTTGTAGCAGCCAGTGTGGCCGTAAGCGGTGTCGGGGAAATCGCCATAGCCAAGGCATGACGCGAATCCATTGGGAGGATTGTGTTCGTAGAGGAACTGCATGACCGTCTCCACATTCTTCTGGAACTGGCTCCCTTGGGTGGTCTTGCGGGTGTTGTAAGCCGCGACACCAGGTCTGGCGTCGCTTCTTCGCTCGTCGGGTGGAATGCCTTGCGCTGCCGAGCGATCGAGCAAGAACAGGGGGATCATCCATAGCAAGCTCAAGAGCGCCATTGCCGTGCTTCACGCGGCTGAGCCAAAGAGAGTATGTCAAGTCCAAAGCTGGTCAAGTCACACTCTAGCTGGTCAAAGTCATGCTTATCACATCGTTTTCAGCTTTTTTCCACAGAGAGAGAGAGAGAGAGAGAGAGAGAGAGAGAGAGAGAGAATCAAGAAGCAAAGATTGCAAGGAAGCTCGATTACCTTTAGTTATATAAGTACACAGCAAAGTATAAAAATTCCCAGTGCATATCCCGGGTAGCATCACAAAAGGTGCCCGAATTTTTTCCCATCTTATAAAAAATATCAGCCTCCTCTCCCTCCACCGCCATAGCCTTTTTCTGCCACTTTGTACACCGAAACCTGTAATTTTCGTAGTCCTCACGTACACACCATAAACCACACGAGATCATCAGCCAGGCAAAGAGCTCGACGATTACCCCCCAGTTTTTCGCGTCTCGACAATCACCGCCGCGTCCCGAGGGGAGCGCTCGAAGCTTTCCCCGGATCCGTCTAGACCGCATGGGGAAGGAGCCTCTCGCAGGTCCGAGCCAGCGACTGGAGATTGCAGCGCACCACCGTGTTGGTGAAAGTGAGCGTGTCCTCCCGGGTGTTCCCGTCCGGGATCTCCACCACGTACGACTCCATCACCAGCGTCCCCGGCCGGTCCTGGACCAGCGTCTCGTGCAGCGTCGTGATGGACCTGTAGTTCCTGAGCCTGTGGTCGCCATCCAGCACCTTGAAGCTCAGTATGTGCTTGTCCTCGTCCAGGATCTCCAGCTGCTCCTTGCTCGTCGTCGCGGGAAGCCCCGACACCACCGTGATCTCCCGGGTGCTCCCCACTTTGAGGTCGCCCTGCGTGGAGCAGCTGCGTATGAATCGCTTGTAGCACTGCGGCTGGTCGAACCGGCGAACCACTGACCAGACCACCTCCACCGGCGCTCGGACCTCCTGCACCAGCACGGAGCAGCACTCGTTGGAAGCCGGCTCGTGAGTGTGGTGCTCGCCCACAGCCTCCTCCATTCTAGCGCTCTCCCGCTCCAACTCTTCTATCCATTCTCCTGTAGAGGGCGCAACAGTTTCCTGCCAGCGGAGGAAATCAAGCGCGCGCGCGCGCCCCTTGCTTGTCAGGCCCCGCAATTCACAATGCAAAACAGATCACACAGGAATGGATCTTTTCACTCTCTTCTAGCCACCGCCCTAGCAAGCAGCTACCAGCAAGCAGCAATGGCATGAAATTCTGGCAATGCGCTGCTTACCTTGCACATACCAGCTGCTGGAGAAGATCCTAGCGACGAAATTGCGCGGCCAGCAGTGACTTTCACTCCCGCGAGACCATGTCAGAGCCAAAAACCCTAGATAGCAAATCCACCGACCATATCTATCTGGGAATATGCCGCGGGCATCTCCTTGTCCGTACGATGCGCATTAGGGCGAGCGCGGGCGATGGCGGCCAGCAGCAGCAGCAGCAGCGGCAGCAGCGATGGCGGCGGCGCCAGCGGCAGGCGCGCCATCACCAGCATCGTCGACGACCAGGGCGTGTACAGCTCCCGGTGTGGCTACTGCAAATCCGGGCGGACGAGCAGCGTAGCTCACGGTGAGCGAAGTATGTGTGCTGTGGCTGGTCTTGACTGGGAATTATGCGTGCTTCTTGGCAGGAATGGCCGCTCGCAGGCTTCACGTGAACGATTATCAAGGTATCTCTGTGATCTCTTCCTCTCGATTGGTGAAAGTTCTGTTTTTTTTTTCTTCTCCAGAGCTGCTGGATCGAGGGTGGAGACGATCTGGAAGTTTTCTCTATAAACCCGAGGGAAGGACGTGCTGTCCTCCCTACACCATTCGGCTCAAAGTGGACGCGTTCGTTCCTTCCAAGGAGCAAATCCGTGTAAGACGTCGCATGAACAGGCAAGAACTAGAACTTTATCGGTCTTTCACGCGCACTTTTGACGATCTATTCTATCACAAGCAGGTATCTAGAAGGCGACTGCATTGGAAAAGATGATGATGCCTCCAAGGGAACTATCAGTGGAATGGAGACTGGGAAAGAAGAGGATGGAGTCTCCGCGGCCCTTGTAGATAGCTTGAAGGCAGCGATAAGAGATTGGATGGTGGATGCCGGTGTTGGCTCGGACTTCCAGGTTCCGGATGTTGGAGTTCGCAGGATATCGGAGAAGGTTAGACAAAAGCTCCAGGAGGACAGCACTTCTGAGTGGGAAGCGAGCTACACGAGCAACGCTGCGTTTTTAGTGGCATCAGCCTTGAAGAAGAGGCGCAATTTAGATGGTGGTCAGCTAGCTATGGAGGTGGTACCGGCGGACTTGGCTTCTCAGCTGGCAGCGAAGCTCTCGGCTCAACAGCTGAGCGGTGTAGTTGTCAAGGCTTGCAAGGGTCACGTCAACTTTTATCTCTCGAGCTCAGCCAAGGGGAAATCTTCTGTGGCTGCCATCCATGGCGAAACAAAAGCTGGCCATGGAGATGGAGAAGCTCCGGTACACAGGGTGAAGCGGACTTTGGAGGTGCGAATGCAAAGGTCGGCATTTGATCGTGAATCGTTTGAGCTTTACAAGAAATACCAGGTTCTTGTCCACAACGACAAGCAGGTCCTGGAATCGTCGTATCGAAGATTTCTGGTGGATTCTCCATTAGTTCCTTTTCAAAGTGCCTCCACTAGCTATGGCTCTTTCCATCAGCAGTACAGAATCGATGGACGCCTTGTTGCTGTGGGGGTTGTCGACATTCTTCCAAAGTGCCTTTCCAGCAAGTATTTGTTTTGGGATCCCGACTTTGCCTTTCTTTCTCTGGGAAAGTTTTCGGCCTTGCAGGAGATCGAGTGGGTTAAAGCTGCCGCCGAGCCATCGTTACAGTATTATTATCTCGGTTACTACATACACTCCTGTCCAAAGATGCGCTACAAGGCGGCCTACGCGCCAGCGGAGCTTCTCTGTCCTTTGACTCTAAAGTAAGCTTTCAAGTTTTACCGCAAAGTAAGAAACTAATGTGTGCTCGATAGATGGATACCCTTTGATATTGCTCGTCCACTTGTGGAAACCGGGGCCTTTGTTCGACTTTCAGGCGAGAACAAACAAGCCGATATCACAAGCAACGGCACCGAAGCTCTCGAGCTACACGAGACTCCCAAGAACCTCGGTGAAGTTCCCATTCTTCTCTACAGCAGCGCTCGATGCATCTTACTCAAGGTATCATCTTTTTCTTTCAATTCCCATTTAGTCTCGGATGGTTTCGATACACCAGGATTTGGAACTAGCAGCTCCAAAGCGCTTCATTGAAGGACTGAAGTGGCAACTGTTGCAGTATTGGCAGCTTGTTGGGGAGGGCCTCGCATCTCGAATGGCGTACGCCATCCAGTCCAAGTTTTCCTGACTGAAAACGACTTACATGTACAGCCACTATTTGTATTTTCCGATTCGATTCTCATAAAGCAGCACGCTTGCGAGACGAGTTCATGTATGGCCGGATGACCCACTCGTTCTGTGCCTCGACTTGGTCCACCGTTCCCAGCTTGATTTGATACAGCCGCAGCTCGAAGCGCGGTCCTACCTCTTTGAGCTCGATGGATTTGACGCCCCCCTGCTTTTCGTAGACGTGGTGCCTGCGAATCAAACAACAAAACGTGCTGGCTTCAGACAGGAAGAATGCGGAGGTGGAATGTACCTGAAAGAGATGTAGTCCTGCTGGTTTGCGAATGTGATTAAACGCTTCGAGTCCGGCTTCGGGACTGGGAAGAGGTATTTGAGTATGTTTGAAGTTCTCATTCCCAGCTGGAAGAGAGACAAAAAGTCAGAAACGAAAACGGATAAAGACGAAGAAAACTTGCACCTTGGTGTTGAAGTTATTGAGTATTAGATGTGGATATGCTTCAGACATTGTTCCCAGGCCTTTCTTGTCCTTGATATCGTGCCTCGTTACCTGCAGAATGGCTCATTAATCAGCTTGGTTCCTAGAAACTTCAAGAAAAAAACTCCAAACACTTTCACTCACCACATTCATGAGACCGAAATACGCAGTCGGACCATACGGGAGATGGCAGACGATCAAGCCATCTGGCTCTCCTCTGTGTTCATGAACCATGATTATGTCGGTAAAATCGTGAGCTCGACAAGATTCCACGATCTCTGCAATCACCTGTCCAAAAAAGCTTAGTTTCTACGGGGAAAAGCGTGAATGGCGAACCTGTCCTCCACGGTTCATCCTTTGCGCATTTGGAAAGACGATCTTTAGTTCCTGTAAACAACCGGCCAGAACAGTTTTCCTAGACTCATGGTAACACCTCAAGCTACCTTGACAAACTGCGTAAGTCGACTGCTAGGATCGCGGGAAGTGGTCAGGAGAATTTTCGGATCAACCTCTCCAGCATAAGCGTACTCATCATCGACGTGCGTAGTAGGCTCTGAAACACGAATACACACACCCCCATTCACTAAACAATCTCGACGACGCAAAAACGTAAGAAAGAACCTGCCGTGTTCTCATCCTCGAGGTCGATTTCCTGCCTCAAAGACGCCTCATCGTTCCGCAACTCAGTCGGCAAGGGCTTCCCTTCTACAAAAGCACAAAAGAAAAAGAAAAAGAAAAGAAACGCTGCTCATCTCCTCGCAAAAAGAGATTCTCGTACCTTGCAGCGCTTGCTTGATCTTGCGCTTCTTCTCGTACACCTCGCGCTCCTTGCCCTCCAAGCTCTTGCGATACAGATACTCCCGCCGGAGACGGGCATTCCGCCGGATCATCGCCCCCAAGAGCCCTAGCAAAAGCCCTAAATCCCAGCACGGAATATTCCAGGCAGCATCACCGAATATTCGTAAAACGCCCTTTCGGAAAAGGTGAAAAGTAAAGAAAAGAAAAGATTGCCACGAAGGCAATGTGATTCATGCAACGCAGGTGGGCGCAAAAATATCAACGTGTGACATGGCGCGAGTGGCCATTCTCGCGCTGCCACGAAGCCGCCACCGTCCATGCTCCGCGTTGGACCCGGGGCATCTCCACGCGAATATGCTTCGCCCTCATGTCCAGTGTCGCGTTGCGCCATGCTGGGGCGTATCCCGGATTCCAGCTGGGACCCTTCGCCTCCTTCTCCACACATTGCCCCGCGCTATTGATATTTTTTTCTACCAGGCCTTACTTAAGCTACCACCCATTCTTCTCTCTCTCACTCCACTCCGTCTCTCTCGCTCGCTCCGCTCGAGGAGGAGGGAATCTGATCGAGAGAGCGGATAGAGGGAGAGGACCGAGGAGAAATGGCAGCAACAGTAGCCAGCACCGGCGCTGCTTCGTCCTCTTCTTCTTCGTGTCCTTCTTCTTCTTTTTCGAATTCCTGTTCTAGAGCTCTTCCCAGATCCACCATCGTGAGGATGAGGACGAGGGCGGTCGAGTGCTGCGCGTCCTCGAGAAAATCCGCCGCGGTTGGGTCGAGCGTGCGCTGCCCAATCTCAGCTCCGGTGCCGTCCCGATTCGTCCTTCCGCCGCAGATGATTCCAATTCCGGTGGTGATCGAGGTAACGTCTCGGAAGCTATGTCTTGTTCGTTGAGTTCCGTGCTCATGTCGGTGTGCGTGGTTTGTCGGTGGTGGCTCAGGTTGATCAAGACGAGGAGGACGAGCTCACTTTCCTGGATTACGACGACGACAATGAAGAGAAGAGGAAGTCTCCTTGGCTCACGTCTCAGTACTTGAGCTTAAGGCTGCGATGTTCCTCGTAAGTTTTCTCTCTCGGCAGGCTCTTGGATTGGAGCTCACAAACGAGTGCTCTGTCTAGGTTGATGATGAAGGAAGCGAAGGATGCTCTCAGTCGCCACTTCAAGGGACGAGAGCCGACCGTCTCCGTGAACTCCATGCTCAACACCACCGCTGACAAAGTCTCGAGTTCTTCCGCCGGTAGCAACAAGAGAGCAACCGACAAGGTAGGAGTTTTCGCATTTGATCGATCTTTTCTCGTCAGTGCCCCTGACTGACTTGAATTGCTCGAAAAACTTTCCAGAACCGCCACCTCCAGCTGAATCTCATCAGCGAAAGCTACCACGGGGATACCGTTAAGTTCATCACGGATGTGGTTCTTTCCGACGAGCAGGGAGGTTACTTTGGAGACCGGGCCGTCAACTCCACCGTTGCTTGAGGATCGAGCTTGGGAAAAAGTGAGAATCTTCCTCTTCTTCATCCTCATCGAAAGGATAGAACACAATGGTGGAAGCGTTTTGCTAGGCCCTGCTTCTACACTCCCATCCTGATCTGATGAACACCGGAACTTGGATGATCTGTGCGAGGATGATCTGCTGCCTGGAAACTCTATTAAAAGCTTGGATCAAGAGAAAAATACGACTTTCGAGGATACATGATCGCGGCAGAGCACAGTTGGATCGTCGTCGTCTTGCTCCGGAAAAAAAGATAGAAAAGAGAATGCTGAGCTCGAGATGGCTGTAAAATAATAAGCGGAGGAGAAGAAACTAGAGAATAGAATACTCTCTCATATCACTCTCACTTGTTAGTGTGTGTCGAGTGATTGCCCACAATGTCAGGAATAATTCGAAGGCAATCACCAACAGGAATCCGGGATAACATCGAAAACGGTTGACAGTGCTGGTCTCGAGATCTCCGGATGAGAGAAGGGAAATGCAAAGACGAATGTTCAAAGTGGAAGTCCAATTGAGGAGTCCAGCTCCATCGCAGTTCATGGCCTGTCAGTGAAGATTCCATCCTCTTTGAGCACGTAACTGTTGCAAAACAGCCAAGAAGTTGGGAAAAGATAAGACAGGAATCACGCCCATGCTCCACGGATGGATGGATCCGTCCAGCTATTGTTTTAGCCAAAGCAAAGTATTTGATGGTTTGATCGTTAACCAGAAGCTCGACTACGGAGGTTCTTTCCACCACAAGAACTCGGTAGTAAAGTTGCAATGTAGCAAAAGCCAAAGGTTGTCGCTGGCACGAGATGCCTGGCGAATCGAGTAAAGTTCTGGCCCTGCACGTCTGTTCGAAAGCTCGCAAGAGACGAATAGAGGTGGCTATTCTTCTTCAAGAGATTCCCAAACTGTTTTGTTTGGTGTCCCGCTGAGCAACAGAGGGATCCGCGCTCTCGCCTGCTTGTTTGCGTGAGGCGGTTCTTTGTACATGATTCTAGCATCAAGTTGCCATTGATCGTGCAAAGTACTTCCAAGTGTGGTCCTTGTGAGCGAATGAAGGATGGAAACTCGTACAAGCCTCTCCACCATTGTTCTCGAGAGAGCATACATTAAGAAACGGTCAGAATTCCAGTATTTCTCCTCAGACCGCTGTCCTTCGGAATGTCGACAGCTTACCATTCTTCTTGCAACAGATCTAACTTGAAAGCTCATCTATGAAAACTCAAGGGGAACATGAATTTAAACTCACCAACAGTGCACACAACTCCAAAACACGTAGACTATCCCGCACAAAAACCATGGAGCCTCAGTGCCGATTGCTCTTCAAGCTACCCAAGTGCCACTAATTCTGGCGGCCGAATGCTGGCTTTATTGAGGAAGTGTTCAACGAAGTTCTATCCATAATTCGAGTGATAGATGCGAGTTGAGCTTAATTTCACGTCAGTCTTTGACTCAGTGGAGTCAATAAATGTCAAAGAAGGTCTTCAGAAGACTGGATTGACTACTATTGACTTTGAGCTCAAATTAGCTGATATCTTTAACTATAACTTTACCAGAGCTTGTAACTCCACAATGGATCGTTGCATTGTTTAATCTTTGCGAGGCCAGGAAGAGTACAGATACAAAATCAGGAGGGCTATGAGTGATGTTGTGGCGATACTCTGTCTACTTTGGCCGCCTTAGTGACATTATTAAGCTCCACCAGGTGTCTTGCATACGACCCCTGCTGTCTGAAACAGAGTGTCAATCCCAGTGACTTTAATTAGATTATCTTGGTGCATTTCTTTCCTTAAACTAAGAATATTTTCAGGTGTTACAGGCATGCCGTCCCGCCTCACAAGCCAAGTTCTGACTTCCAACGAGGTTGACAACTGTTTGTATTGCCGCTCATGAAAGCCCACCTATAAAACCAAGGGGGCAAATGCTGTCTATCAGATAAGAAATGGCTGTGGAGATCCTCTTCTTCTGCTGGTTCCTGATCGCAACCCATGTTGATCAGGCTGCGGCACAGCCCATACCAGGCATCTACTTCAACCCCGGGAGAACCACTGCAGGGAGCCAGCTCCAATCCAACATAGACTTCGTAGTCGGGTTCCTCGCGCAGAACACTCCTCCCAATGGCTACGCGACATGTCTCGGCTATGGCAAGACCCCGGACACCGTCTACGCGAACACGGGCTGCTACAACCGGCCGGATCAACAAAGCTGCACCGTTTGCATCAACATCGCCTACTCAAGGGCCCAAACCTCGGCTCCACTCACCATCGGTGCTACTGTGTGGCTCAATGAAACCGTGCACCAGTACGCATGCAGCCTGACCTTCGAAGTATACAACTTCACGGACTCGTTGCTCGCTTCGCGTAAGTGCTTCCAAAGCTCTAAAGTTGTGGTTTCTCTCAGCTTGCAAAGTTTGCCACTAGATATGCTCGGCATCTTGGGTCCCAATGCCTCGGCTCCAGCGCCTCTTACATCTTTCCGGTTCCCTGGATCCTCGAGACTGAACGTGGCTGCTTATTTTGCTGGAGGAGTCGCAGGGATTTGCTTCGTATTTATATGCGGCGTAGTGTTTTTCGTCTTGAGATGGAGATGGAGGCCACGGGGAAAGGTCTCGGATTCGGAGAACTCTGTCTATAACATGGGCAATCCAAGGCTGTTTACGTACAACGAGTTGTCCGTGGCCACGGATAGTTTCAGTGAGGAAAACCAGCTTGGTCAAGGTGGCTTTGGAGTTGTGTACAAGGTAATCTCGTCCAAAGGTGTCCACTCCAGTTAGATTCATAAGTGTTAATTGCCAGGCCAATCTCAAGGATGGGACGCAAGTGGCAGTGAAGAAGCTCTCGCTCCACTCCAAGCAGGGAAAGCAAGAGTTTGTCAACGAGCTCAACATTATCACAGGGATTCGCCACCGGAATCTTGCCAAGCTCCACGGATATTGCGTCGAAGCCAATGAGAGGCTCTTGGTTTACGAGTTCCTGGAGAACGGCAATCTCGACAGTGCGCTCTTCCGTTAAGTGTTTGTCTCCACTTCTATTCTTGAAGTTAAAGATCTTATTTTTTTCCTCACAGAAAGTTCTTTGGCCTTGAATTGGCAATCTCGGTTCCAAATCACGCTCGGGATCGCTCGGGGACTTGCTTACCTGCACGAGGAATCACACTTTCAGATAATCCACAGGGACATCAAGGCCAGCAACGTTCTCCTCGATGCCAAGTTACAGCCAAAGATATCGGACTTTGGCCTCTCCAAGCTCTTCGATCTGGATGGAGAGTATGGCGTCTCAAAAGTGGCTGGAACATTGTAAGTTCTCTTCTAGTGGATGATATGGTTGACAGACTTACGTCGTTTTGCAGCGGATATATGGCACCAGAGTATGCGGTTCACAGGAGATTGTCACCGAAAGCCGAACTGACTCACCGTCAGAAGCCAAGAGCATTAAGACACAGTCGCAAGTGTGTCAGGACTACAGAATATATGATCCTTATACGAGGAATTCCAATCCCTTTGCAGTAGGAAGGAGGCCATGAGTTGATAGATAGTCTGAATTGTAGAACTTGCTCAGATGGCGTGAACCACTATCGCAAAGAATGGTGACGATGGTGTGGCCGGGACCAAGCAAGCGAGCAACCCGCACAGCGCCTACGCAGTTCATCGCCGAGGAGCTGCCGACGAAGATTCCATCCTCTCTCAATAAGAACCTGTTGCAGGAAAGGCAACCAAGCTCAAAAAGGAAGGCCAAAGAATACAAAACTGACCTCGACATCTCTACGGCTTCCTTGTCAGTGCCTCGGATGGCTCCATCAAGTTTAGCCAAAAGGAAATTTTTCGTCAGACGGTTGATGCCAATTCCCTCCGTTATGGTATCGAATGGATTTTTGAGTCTCTTTCCTTCTGCTTCTTCTCTAGCATACAGGACACCTCTTGAAACCCTGTTATAAAGTCCAGAACCAGGCGGGTCTATCAAGTAACACTTGACTTCTGGCCTTTGATCCTGCAAGAAGGAAAAAGATCTCTTTGACAAATGCAGCTGGGAAATTACCTTGAGATAGCATGTAATGCCCGCGATTGTGCCACCGGTGCCAGATGCCGCTACAAAAGCATCAACTTTGCCTCCAGTTTGCTTCCATATTTCTGGCCCCGTTCCTTGGTAATGAGCCCGAAAGTTTGCCAGGTTCTCAAACTGGTCAGCAAAATATCCCCCTTGCGCTTCATCTTTGCTGTCGACGATATGTGTACCATTTTTCGTTGGATTCTTGTCATTTTTATCGAAGGGGCAAACGATCATTCGCTCTTTGTACTTTGCTTCAGCTTCCTGTGCTCTTCGTCGTGCAATGTTTACGAAGTGGTCCTTATGCGTTATGGAAACCGGTCGAACTCTCTCCACAGTGGCACCTAGCGCTTCCAGAAGTTGAGCCTACAACGAATGCGTTTTGAGTCATACAAGTGAGAAAGAATTCCAAAACCAACCTTTTCGATTGCTGCATCATCTGGAATCACTACATGGCACTTGCAACCACACGCCACGGCAACCATAGCCAGGCTAATGGCAGTGCTTCCAGCGCTTCCTTCGGTGACCACACCTCCAGGACGTAGCTTTCCGGATTGCAAAGCCTGCAAACACGAGAAAAACGAAAGAAGCAAAGTGACAAAGTAGAGAAAAAAATACAAACAGACCTCTTTGATGATTTTCACAGCTACTCGATCTTTGATACTTCCTCCAGGATTTAGAAACTCCGCTTTGGCATAAACCTGGCAAGAAACACTGAGCGCTGCTCAAGATCCGTAGAAAACAACTCACCTCGCAGCCTGTTGCCTCGGACAAACTCCGAATTTTCACCAGCGGCGTGTTGCCGACAGCTCCCAGAATCCCGTGCGCGTGTTGCCGATCGCAATGCGCCGCGCTCCACACGATCTGAGAGCTGCGACGCCGCCGCCGACTGGAGTGCACAATCGCGATGGCGCCAATGACGAGAGCTCCTCCGGAGATCACCACCGCGATCGCGAGCTTCCTCATACTGACCTAAAACATTTGGTGGAATTTAACGGGCAAATGTACAAAGATCGCAATAAAGAGAATTTAATCTATCCCAGGTATTGGACGGCCTGGATTTCTTGGTTCCGTCGCTCTTGCCTGAGGCGCTTGGAATACGATGGAAGATGTAATCTCTTCGTTCTCGTGGCTTGTTTCATAGTCTCGAAAGTCGGCATGCTGTCAAATCCTCCAGGAGGAGCCATGGATTTTCTGGAAAGATCACTCGAGCAATATAAGTTCTTGACCACTCTGGATTGAAAAGCTTACCTCGCAAGGACTGGGAGCTTGAGCGGATCCTCGGGCTTTGGTATTTGTTCTCCTCCTTCACCACCAGCAGCAGTGGCATCAGGAGCTCCAGGAGCTCCAGGAGCCTGTTGAAGATATGCCGAGAGAGATGAGTACGTTATAGATTGGAACGCTCCGTTACCTGAGGAACGATTTCGGCGGGAGGAGCAACGACGGACTTCTTCGGGGACAGAGTAACAGATTTTCTGGGAGCAGCGGCAGCGGCAGCAGCAGCATCGATTGTCGGAGCGGGGACAACCGGTGGTAAAGTCACTACAGTCGTCTGATCCTCGGGAGATTTTTCATCTCTGGGTAGCTGTTCCGGTGTTGGCTTCGTCACTGCTGGTTTCAGGATTGGCAGAGTCCTTGTGGCGATGCCGGGAGGATCAGCAGGCATGAAACTCTTGAATGTCATTTCTCGTTTAGTGTTTTCTTCCTCAGATAGCTGCTCCAAGTAACTAGAGATTAAGAAAATACTGTCAGAAATGAAACCAGATAAACGACTTTGGTACCTCAAACACAGCATTTCTCTTGGTGGAACAAGCGGACTTCCTTGCTTCACTAAAGGATCACCAGTGATGACATTGACCAGGTGATACTGATCCTCCACTCTGCGTTGCAAATTAAGTACATCCTAGCGCTGCTTAGAAAGATACCACTTACTCTTTCATTTGCCTTTTGCCAGTCCGACCCGTCTCCTCCAAAAGGACTTGCAAGCCCTGACCCAAGTTGCCGTATACGCCTTCCCACTGATCTTGGCCATTTCTCTTTGCCACGATCTTTTCAAGCCTGCTTGGACAGCTTACATTACAGAGACCATAGAAAAGATAGTCATACCCGCTGGGCCATCTCAGGCACTTCGCAAATCTCAAAAATCTGCAGAGGTAACAGAATAGCTCAGCAGAGTTATAATCAGAGGAAAGTATACATACGGCACACATCCTTCTCCCTCCTTATCCGCATAAGGAATCAATCTTCGAAACTCTTCGTCCGTGTAGTATACACCAAACTGCTCTAAACTAGTACGCAAGTCCTCGTAACTAACCTGCAGAGACGAAACAATGAAACTAGTTCTAGGAAAGAAACTAAGTAAAAGAAAACACCCATGTAATGCTAGTTATATCACTGACCCTATCTGTACTGTTTGGATCAAAATGTTTGCACGCATCTGGAAGCTGGCCTGACTTCCAATACAACTGCACAATCGAAAACAAGGATTTAGAAAAAAGAAGAATGTAAGAAGAGTTCGAATGCAAGACGTACTTTCTCCATCAATCTGTCGATTACAGGCTCTCCTCCGGATTGCCATAACCGTTTTCGAGGAGCTATCATTTTCCTCTTGAGCCTCTTGAACTCTGGAGCGTTTGTTTGTAAGTAAATAGTCATAATGTAAACTTTCTAAAGGAAACTTACTTTGTTCGGCTGTCTCCTCAGGCTCAGTGGGATATAGCGGTTCCAATGGATTCGATCTGGGATTTCTGTCGAATCCAAATCTCTTCTTCCCGATATTGATGTCGAAAAGCTCAAGCCCCGTGCCAACCTTGCACCGAAATCGTCTATGAACACAAAGAATTCAGTCAGTAAACAAACACGCAGAATAAACTTAAGCAGCTCACTCGCGAGTCCATTTTGCAGGATGAGACTTCTTATCAAACAATATGTCCTCGAGACGAACACGCACGGGGCCTTTGAAAAGAATCCTTGGTTTAGCACCAACAATGTCGCTCACATCCAGGAGATCGGTTACTCTGTTGGAAAATATCTGGAGAAACCACCACAGCCGAACGTAAGGAATAATCTAAGCAGAGGAGAAAAGCACCTGATCACCAGCTGGGAGGAGATTTGGACCCTCAGGAATTACGTAATCTGGATCCAAAGGATTGACGCAGCGATCAGTAATAAGTCGCCTCGATGGTCGCTTCTTCCTGTAAAGATCTTGCGGCAGCCATGTATCTGGAAACATTTTGCTGGCGTCCTGCATTCCAAAACCTGTGCTTCGTGAGTTTGGTGGATGAAATTTTCAATCGAAGTCTAAGAAGAAGATCTAGGAAATAATTTTTTCTTTCTTACTTCTGGATGTAGATACGTCCTGATGGTGGGAGCAAATCTAGCTCCTTCGATGTCGTCCGTGGTGAGCGAACGAGGGATGCCCTTGGGCACCATGCACCGGTGGACATCCCCATGGTTGGCGTAGGGCGCCCAATCGATCGTCTCCGCCATCGCGCGCCTCCCTCTTCTTCTTCCTCTCCCCTTTTCTCACCTGTGTCTCCAAAATCCCCTCATCTTACTCGAGCTGTGAAGCTCCAGACCGCCCCAGGAATCTCCTCCCAACGCCAGGAATCAAGGCGAGGTGCTGCTGATCGCATTGTGCTCGCAAATTACCTCCGCATCATCCAAGATCTCGAGGGATCGGGCGCGCTCCCTCCACTGCTCTCTTGCTGTTCATTCCTCCAAGAGGTGCGCGGCCACGCTGCTGACGCGGCTAGGGTTTTGCAGCCACTACAAGTGTACGGCCAGAAATGGGCGGGAGAAAATTTTCAAAAGCTTCAAAGCCCTAAGAACTAAACTGGTAATTAGGGCTAGGGCTTATGTTCTACCCTATCCCACATGCCCTGGCGCACGTGAAGAGGGCCAAGATATAACAAGCTCCATGAACAAAGCTTTCACGACTGTACTTGAACAGGATCTGTTCTCTAGGTCGTACTTCAGTCCATACCCAGAGGTATAGACAAACCGATATGCCCGGACGATGAGTCCGAGAGCCCACCGGCTTGAGCGCGACCGTACGGGTGCTTGGTGCTATTGTGCCATGCGGCCCATAGATGACCGTTCACTCCGAGCTTGCTCGGTTGTGAAGGCCGGGCGGGCAGTCTGACGGGTCCAAAACTTTCTTTTACCTTTAGATAATGACCTTTTCAGATATAACATGACGTAACTTCTTACAGATACATTACATCGTCTAACATTGATTTCTCGCTATAAGGTATAGCTATTCTCGCTTGGAACACCAAACGTTATTCTGTTGGCGAGCTTTCTCAAGTTGGTCATCTTATATTTTTCCTTGGTCTTGCGAAGCCTCCTCCCGCCGCGTTTCTTCTTTGATTCTCCAACCCGGGGAACTGGCAAGGGCGTGGCGGACTTTAGAAGTGGCCGCTCTTGCCACTTGTTGATCGTCTTAAGTATCTCCTCGCGTAGAGCTCTCCCAATCTCGCCACCTTTAGTGCTGTTGATCGTCGTGGTAGCATCCACACGAGCTGCTAATGCTGCCTTTGAGCAAACGAGGCGACACGCCCTGTTTCGAAGCGGCGGTGGCGTGGACTGTACAATCTCACACTCGAAAACATGCCCCATCCCATTGTTCTTCACCGTCGCTGATGAGAATCCTAATAGATCGTCGATCTCCTCCCTGCCTAGAAGCTTTACGTTGCATGCCGGCATGCTAGCCAGCGACACGAGCCCGCCAGCTTCTTCGATGAGCTTTGCGGTTATGGAGCTCCCCAGAATGGCTGACAAGTTTGGAGCGGCAGAGCTCGTCTCGCTCTCCAAGAACCCTAAAACCTCCTTTCTTGTCTCCGTGAGCTCGATAATCCTATCGCATGCATCTAACACGCGCTGCAAATCAGAGTCCTCCAGTGTTGGCATGTCCATTGTCGAGAAGAGCATCGAAATCGCCAGCGCTGTTGGAGCTGGAAGATCTTCCAGACTAACTTCACTAAGATCCATCTTGTTCCCAATCTTTTTCACTAGCCGCGCATAATCTAATGGATCCCTCACCATTAACTCTAGTTCTTTGAACCTCCTCCCGTACATAGTTTTCACGAAATCATACAAGCTTTCAATCTCCTTCTCCATTCTGATTTGCCCTAAGTCCAATCCTTCAATTTATAGTACTACTACAAAAGGTATACAAAACTAATTACAATCCTTTATTTTCCTGTATTGTTTAATGAAAACCCCTAAAACCCTCGCATAGCTGCCACGTCATACGAAGATGGAGTGGCATTCCAGTTTCTAGGTTGAGGAGGAGCGGCCGCGATGGATCAGCGCCCCGCCAGTACGTCTTTCTCTCCCTTTCTCGCGTCGCAGCTCTTCCTCCTCTCGATCGAGCGCCATTTCCGAGCTGATCGCCAGGAGGATGAGAAATGCCAGATCTTTCTTCTTTTTTCGTTTCCTCTTCGCGATCGAAGCTAACGTCGTTCTTCTCCAGCGGTGCCGGCGTCATCGCTCTCGGAGATACGCTTTGGATTGCTGTCCCCGGCGGATATTGTGAGTTTCAAGCGCTTTGTTTTTTTTTTTTCTCCCTCTGACTCTTCCTCTCCTCGTTGTGTTCCAGGTCAGTCTCTCCGTTCGCTCTATCAGCAAGCCTGCCGATGTTAGCGATCCCTGCCTCGGACTTCCTTGCATTCGTGGGAGCAAGTGTTTATCGTGTGGAGCCAATGAGCCAAAGGAATGCCCGGGTAGGCATTCTTTTCATGTTTTCTTTTCTCTGTTCCTTCTTTGTCTAACTGGATCCTTCTTCCAGGCCATTTTGGTCGCTTGGAGCTCTTAACCCCGGTCTACCACCCAGAGCATTTGCGAAAGCTTTGCAAGGTTCTGGGGATGGTTTGCTTGAAATGTGGCAAACCGAGGAAAAAGCCTGGGAGGAAAGAGGAAGAAGTGGACGTAAAGGAAGAGAAAGACGAAGAGGATGAAGCGAAGCAACAAGAACAGACGGCAGCTGAGAAGGGAAAAGCTATAGTGAAACATAGCTCGTGTCCCGCTGAAGAAAAGCAACAAGAACAGACGGCAGCTGAGAAGGGAAAAGCCATAGTGAAACATAGCTCGTGTCCCGCGGGGATCAACGATCCGACTATTTCCTACTTCACCATATCCGATAGCGAGGACGAAGGGCTTTTCATTGTGGACATAATGGCTGAAGATGCCAAAAAGGTACTTTCAACTGACCTGCATTCCTTGTTCACTGTAACGTAACATCTTTACAGGCCCGCTGCGAGTTTTGTGATGGAAGCTACAAATATCCCAACGTTAGAGTCCTTTCAATGAAGTTCCAGAAGTATCGGATTGAAGGAATTCGTTTGGAGTGTCCAGGCACAAAACCTCCTCCGAATGGGTACTGGAACTTTCTCGGAGGAGCTTTGAAGGGACGTCGGAAAGTGAAACTGACTCCCATTCAGGCAAGTTTGCTGTGATTATTTCTAGTCGTTTATGTTACTGTTATTAACTGTGGAAACTCTAGGCACTATCAATCCTGAAAAAGGTCCCAGCGAGGGTCTTACCCGGCGTAGATGTTGAGGCGTTCGTGCTGGAAAAGCTTCCAGTTCCTCCAAACTGCATGCAGTCTTTACTAGACGTGAGTAGTTCCTCTATTCGTCTTTCTTGTGTTTGCAATTAACAAAGCAACAGCCGAGGACTGGAAACGTCTCATTTTCAAGCAGTGGAGCGATTCAGACACTGCGGAAGCTCGTGATGGAGAATGCAAAGTTCGTTGACAGCTCGCCGAAAGCTTTGAAGACAAAATGGAAGACCCTGCAACACCTCATCTCGCAGTATCTGCGCCTGAAAGGCTGCCCAAAGGTATTCTTCTTGTGTATTTTATCCGTTGACACTATTCGCTGATAAACTTTGATCTTTACAGATACGTAATAATCTCGAGCCTTCGACGAGGCCAGGAGTGACTGTGAAATGCGCCGAAATCTGGAAGAATAACGTGACTGACACTATCTTGTCGAAGATGACACAGTACTGTGCCATTGCGCTGCTCACTGGCGACGCTTACCTTGGTGTAGAGGAGATTCTCATCCCGGATGAGATATCTAGGCAGGTGACGCTGCCAGAACGAGTGACATCCTTCAACGCTGACAAGCTTCAAGCAATTGTCAACGACTTACAGGTATGCTTAGCATGTTTGTATTGTTTTGGATTCGATTTTCGTGAGTACCAGGTCGGTTTCATCGAGCAAAACGGCGTCACTTGTGACCTGCGAGGCCAGTCCGCTGAGAGAAGGCAGTTGGAGATTGGAGCTGTCGTTCATCGCCCTGTGCGGGATGGGGATCTTGTTTTCGTGAGCCGGCACCCGGCGGTTTACAAACACTCAGTCATAGCGCTTACTGCAAGGATCCATCCCGGGAAGTCTTTCAGAATCAACCCTTTGGTGTGCTCTCCTCTCAAAGGAGACTTTGATGGAGACCGGCTGCACGTTTACTTCCCGCAGGCCGAGGACGCAAGAGTGGAGACGAGAGAACTGATGGGACTGAAGCAACAGTTTCAGGCGTTATCAAGCGGAAATCCGGTGATAAGTTTGACGCAAGACATGCTAGTTGCAGCGTACATGCTGGTTTCGAGGCACAGTTTCTTTACAGCTCCACAAATACAGCAGCTGGGTCTTCACGCTGATCGGTGGTCGCTACCAGATCCAGCGATTGTCAAGCCACGGGCGCTGTGGACAGGTTTCCAGGCATTTGGACTGTTACTGCCTTCGGAGTTGGCATTCTCCACGAGGACGGGAGTCTTGATTTCCGACGGGGAGCTTGTTACTGCCGGTGACGATGGTAGCTGGCTGGGAGGGGGGACCGACTCTTTGTTACGTGCTATCCACGAGAAGTTTGGCGTTGCAGAAGCAATCGCGTACCTTGATTCCTGTTGCTCGATGTTGAAAGAGTTCCTACATATCGAAGGCTTCAGCATTGGCTTGGGAGACTTCAGCGTCAGCGACAGGCAGAGAGAAGCGATTTCGGAGCTTCTGGCGTATGCTAAAGAAAATTACGTGGAGGAGCAGGACTTCAGGGACGTTGAGCGGTGCCTAGAAGTTAAGATAAAGAACGAGACGACGAAAGAGAACAGACTGCATATGATGATGAAAGCAGGCAGCAAAGGGTCCGCGTCTTCGGCGAGAATTCACGTCGCCTGTTTAGGCGTCCAGGTTGTTCACGGTCGCTCGGAATTCATCGACAAGTCGTTTTGGAGTGGATTAGACCCGTCAGAGTTTTGGCAACACAGCGTGTGTACCCGAGCTACACTCTTGAAGTCATTGACGATGCACGACGCGGGGACGCTGGCATCGACCCTGATGAATCATCTGGAAGACGTGTATCTTGCCTACGATGGCACGGTTCGTCACCGACAGAATGAGCAAGTCGTTCAACTGGACTATGGCAATGAGTCGGCTCAACCGGGTGAAGCCGTAGGGGCCCTTGCAGCGAGCTTCATTACGGAGCAAGCTTACGACACTGCATACGAGGATTTCAAGGTATAGAATTTTTTTGGACATTCATGTCCAGAGACTGAGCTTTTGGAATTTTATCACCAGAAAACGCTGCAGTCAAGTGTTAACGAGGACAACGTTACGATTTTAAGACTGGAAAGGTGTGGCATCAACAACTGCCACTGTTTGGAGTGGAGATTGTTGGAGCTCAAGGAACAGCTACAACCAGTTCACTTGAAGGAGATCACGAAGGAGGTGAAACTTGAGTATGCACCGACCATCGTGACTTATTGGCTTTGCCATTTCTCTCTGGACCTGGTACTTTTTACTCTTTCTTTGAGCGTCTCTCGAAGTGCCGGTGTTTGGCAGGAGCGTGTCGAGGAGCTAAATTTGAATCTAGAATCCATTCGGCAGTTGATTCTAGGCCTCGATTTTTGCTGTGAAACTGTTCTGTCCTGTGGCAATGAAGAAGCGTGCTTGCACGTTGCAGCAGCAGCTGACGGTGATGACATGGAAGACTCCTTGAACGTCTGGAACTACAAGCTCATACCGAAGCTCTTGGAGGTCTACGTTGCAGGTGATATACCAAATGTTTTGCTACCACGTTACAGATTTTCTGTGTGTTCAGGCAGCAAAGATGTTCAGTCCGTCACTGTCACTCGTGACTATCGTCAAGAATTAGTTCTACAACTAGCTGCCTCGTTTCAAACACTGGCAGGACTCGGCCTGGACACTGTAGATTGGCAGCGATCTTCTCCATTCACTGTTCGGGAAGTATACGATACGTTTGGTGTTGAAGCAGCTTGTCAGTTTATCTATGAGGTGAGCTGATTATAATCTATTTTTCAAATACTTGTCCTTACGCTTAGCAATCATGTAGAGGCTGATGACCATCACGAGCTCGGATGTTAATCCCAGCCATGTTCGTCTTCTTGCGGATTATGCAACGCATACTGGAAATGTGCTTGGCTATACAAATTCAGGTTTTAAGGAATTTCTCAAGAGTACAGGCTCGTTGGCACCATTTCAACGTGTAACCACAATTTATACTTGTTTTTCTTCGTCTCTAACACTTGGCGAACAGGTTGCGGTGAATGAACTTGAAGCCGCCGCACAAAATGGTCTCTGTGATCGTTTAAAAGGCGTGGTTTCGTCTACGGCTTGGGGAAAGCGTCCACCGATTGGAACATCCACAGACTTCAAACTTGTTTGGAAGGTAGGCAAGTTCGTCATCAAGCTCGTCATTTGACATTTGTTTCTGAAGATGGATGATCCGAGCTGGGTCAACGTAGACCTTTACAAGTTCCTTGAAGGAAATGTATGCAAGCAGCCGCTCACACCAGCCATTGCCGAAGGCCGTAAAATGCTAAACAGTGAATGGGAGTCGCAGCCGCAGGGAACAACAGAAACTAATGGCTGGGACGTGCCATCAACAACTGAGAACCTGGACAGTGGATGGGGATTGTTAACCACGACAGCGGACGTTGACAATGGCTGGGGATCGTCAACCGCGACAGCCGACGTTGACAATGGCTGGGGGTCTTTGACGACAACTGATATTGGGGGAAGTGACTGGGGATCATTAGCGACTGACACTGTCAAGAATGCGACGTCGACTGTTAATGCCGACAATGGCTGGGAGGCACCAAATTCCGGTAACTCTCCTCATTATTGTTCTTCATAAAGTTTGAACAAACGCGCTTGCTTGAACTTAGGTGCGGATCAAGGCAATGGCTGGGAAACATCACGTTCAGGTAAATGTTTTCTCAATCTTTTAGAAAATTCAAACGAATCTACTTCTTCGAACTTAGGTGTGGATCCAGGCAATGGCTGGGGAGCATCATGTTCAGGTAAACACCATTCATGGTTATTCATGTTAGAATATTGAACGAATGCATTCGTTTGAACTTCAGATGCGGAAGTTCAAACTGGCTGGGCGTCAATTCCCACTGATCGTCCGGATGTAGCTGAAGGCGAAGAAGTCTCCTGGAATACGGCCTTCAAGGATGACTCCAAGTTGGAAGAGCAGAGATCAAAAAGATCATTTGCTCCTCTTGGTTGCAGAAGGATTCCGAATCCCCATCTCTCAGGTTTCGTCTGATGCGTGATTTTGAGTTCAAATTATTTTTTCTTGTTTTCAGAGGTATGCAACGATGGCTGGTCGTCGGAACCTGCGAACAAGGATGAGGGAGGTGGTTGGGGACAAAGCTCGGGTACAACTTCCATGGTATCAAAGGAATATAGACTGCAACAATGTTTTTGATTGTTTCAGAAGTGATCAATGGAAGTACCTGGGATTCAACCAGTTTTGACGCTCCTGCTCCTGCTGCTCAAGGTCGTGACAGCAGCGACTGGCTACGAAATGACGACCTGGAGCTGCAAGAAGAAAGACCCAAGCGTAAGTTTGCTCCTACAGGAGCAAACACGATTCCTCTTGGCAAAAGAAGAGTTTTTCCAAAACTTGGCGTTGACAGTGCCAAACAGGACTCAGGTTAGTTTTCTTATTCTTCTACACTTTCGACGGTTTCTCCAACATTTTTCTCCAGGCACCGATGCCAAAGATGTGGAAAATAACGAGGAAAAGAACGTAGACCACGGCTGGACAAACTCCGGTTAGTTTATTGCGTATATTGAAATAATATTGATGTTAAATTGACTTGGTTCTCTCGAAGGCTGGAGCCCTGTGAAGAACGACGACCAAGTAACGGTTGCGGCTGACATTCAAGTTGACGGCTGGGGAGCAGCTCCAAACTCAGGTCAGACTTCTATTCAAGATGACGGCTGGGCAGCTGCTCCAAACTCAGGTCAGCCTGCTCTTCAAGATGACGGCTGGGGAGCAGCTCCAAACTCAGGTCAGCCTTCTACTCAAGATGACGGCTGGGGAGCAGCTCCTAGCTCAAGTCAGTTTTCTACTCAAGATGACGGCTGGGGAGCAGCTCCTAACTCAGGTCAGCCTTCTATTCGTCTGATTTAGTCTTGTTCTTATGAAGCTGTTTGCGAAGGTGTGACGAGCAACGACGAAGAAGCCGTGCAAGCTCAGGGCTGGGGATGTAGTGCACCACAAGAAGTCGAAGGTGCTCCAAAGACTAGCGCATTGCACCCCCGGGACCGTCCCCCTCCGGATCCCTTTAAAAGAAAGTTCTGGATGGAGGTGGTGGAGGTCGTGAATCAAGCCAGAATTGTGCTGAGAAGGTAAGGAAAAACGCTCAATTCATCCATGGTGTTCTTATCTGCTCGAGCGTTCTCTCCAGTTACCGAAACGGCGATCGACTTTCCGAGGAGCACGAGACGGCCATCATGGAGAAAATTCTCGTCCATCACCCCTCCTACGACCAGAAAGCTGGAGCTGGTATCGATTTCTTGAAGGTAGAGTGACTCTCTCTCTGGATTGTGTCTGAACTTTAGACGCTATGTCTCCTCTCAGGTCGATCGCCCAGCGAATTTCTCCGACTCGAGCTGCTTCTTCGTCGTCCGGAAAGACGGCAGCGAGGACGACTTCTCGTACCACAAGTGCCTGCGATCGCTGGTCGAGAAGAGCTTCCCAGAGAACTATCTCGCCAAGTATGACGCATCGTGCCTTCCCAAGGACTGGATCAAGAAAGTGGACGATTCAAGTGGAGACAATGCAAGTTAAGTTCTGAGACAATGCAAGTAAGTTTCGAGACAATGCAAGTTAAGTTCTATCTTTGCTATATCACCTCCTAGAGAGAAACGCGAGATCTCTTTAGAAGTAGAGGAAGCACAGGATCATGACACCGCCGACGAACAAGAGCAGCCGGGAGAGCAGCGTTTCCTGCTGGTCCGGGCGGAGCGGCGGCGGCAGGGCCCTCAGCTGGTGGTGGTGGTGGTGGTGGTAGCTGGCCGGCGGCGGCGGCGGCGTGTGCAAGCCTCCATACGGCAGCATGGCCGGCCCGGGTGGCGGCGCATCGGGGAAGCCATGGAACTGGAGCCGGAAGAGCGATGGAAACAATCCAAATCCCGCGGAGAAAGTCACGTTGCCGAATCGCGCCGACGCTCCCGGCCCCGCGGCAGCTCCAGCCACGAAACCAATGCCGTATGGATCGTAGAGGCGGCGGGCGTGGTGGTGCCAGGCCGCGAGGCTGGCCTGGTGGTGGGGGTCCGAGGAGGAGCCCGACCTCTGGCCGGGGGGCCGAGATGGGATCTCCATCTCGGGCACCGAGCTGGTGGCGTGGTCGCGGTGGTCGGAGGAGGACTCCACGCAGCCTCGGCCATAGAGGGGGATGACTTTGTCCTCGTGGACGGGGGCCTTGCAAACCGGGCACTCCTTGCAGATGGATCGCAGCTGCGTCCACTTGTAGAGGCAGGGCCAGCAGAAGAGGTGGCCGCAGAGGGTGACGACGGGATCTTGCGCGAGCTCCAGGCAGATGTTGCAGTCGAAGCTCCCGGCGGCTTGGTCGCGATCGTCGCCCTCGTCGTCCTCGTCGTCTCCATCGTCGCAATCGCGATCGCGGTCGAGGGTGGTGGAAGCTGTTTTGCTGCTGGCTGGAGGAGGAGGAGGAGGAGGCTTGGTTCTTGATCCACCCGAGGTTCCCGGATGATCGTCGAGGCCTGAGTGATCAGCTCTTACTTGGGCATTGCCTTGTGGATCTTCTTCTTCTTCTTCCTCGCGATCGTGTTCCACTTCGTCGTCTCGAGCGCGTAGCTCCGCCTGGGACTCACCTGGCTTTGGGCGATCGCGAAGCTCTCCCGATCGATTGGAGGAAGAACTGGAATTGGACACCGCAGTGCTGCTGCCGCTCGCGTCCTCTGCTCCGGCGGGACTGTTCGTCATCGTCGCCCGCCGCCGCTACCATCGCTAGAGCTTCTCGTCCTCTTCCATCGCCACGGCATTCTATCCTTCTTTTTTCTTCTTCCTCGTAGATTTTTTTTTTCTTTGCCCCTTCAGCACAAACAGACGCATTTGACTGGCACGTCAGCGCTTGACTTCGCGGCGGTTGACCGTGCAATACCGTTTATTTTGTCCAAATTACAGGCATTTCGAATATGCCCCTGGAGAGAGAGAAGGTAGCAATTAGGGTTCATGGTTCTCGCCCAGTGGCTCGCGATGGTGCTAGGTCGCGGGCCAGCGCCAAAGCGCCGATCGACCAGGTGATTCTGTGAAAGGTCGCGGCTTGGCAGGGCGATGGCGTCGGCGGGCTTCGTCCTGGGCTGGAAGGGGGACGAGGACGAGGAGGTGGATATTGGCGGGTCGGATGAGGAAGCGCCAGGGATCGAGAGCGCAGGCGCTATTATTCCAGCAGGGGTCGAGAGCGCAGCCGCGAGGAGGATTCAAGCCGAAGATTTTGAAGCTGAGAGGAACAAGAGCGCGCCGAGTCCGTCGATATTTCGGGGAAATGAAAGGGAGCTCCCGCTTCCTCCTGGCGGTAAGCAGCGTCTCGAGAATCGTGCTCTTAATGGCGCTCCAAAGCTTGGAATGGAAGCTCAGGATAATCGAGGCTGCAAGAAGGAAGCTGGCGCTGCGAGGCGGGCAGAGAATGCTAATGGCACGGCTGCTTCGATCAAAGGCAAGGAGCCAGTGGTGGAAGAGGAAGACGAAACCATGGCATTTAAAAAGAGAAAGGTCGAATCTAGCAGCCTCCGGGATCTCAAACGCCGAAAAGACGGAGACTGGAGATCCAGCCAGTGGGTAGCTTGCGTGCTCTGCAAAAAGTGGCGAAGGTATGGCCAGAGTTTTAATTTCTTTTTCCATCTCCCTCGGCTGTACCAAACTTCTTGTCGGCAGGATTCCATTCGAGCTGACTGTGGAGAGGAGTACGTGGCACTGCAAGGAAAACGTCTGGAATTCCTCCATTGCAAGTTGCGAATGTCCACAGGTAGTTTGTTGTGCCTAAGATGTGATTAAATTCTATGATGTGCAGGAAGAGGCGAGCACCTTTGACAGCATGCCTACGATGCGGGTAGATTTCCCAAACACATTATGCATATCGGATGGCGTTTTACGGAGAACCTCCACGCCTCTGGACAAGTCTGCTGCTCCTGTACCAGATGATATGACCGTCGCAAGCGAGACGATCATCGGGAGCGCTACTGATGCCACTGATAGGGCCGTCTCTCCTGCTGAAAACGGTGCCGCCGCTTTGGACGTTTCAAAGTCTGCTCTCAAGACGCTTATCCCTGAAGAAGGTGAAGCTGTAGCGAACCAAGATGTGAGCCCCTGTCAAGTCTGTGGTTTGGGCGGTCAAACCATGTAAGCTTGATAATTGATTTCTATTCTCGCCTCTAACTTTCAGTTCTTGCAGCTCCTGCTCTCTAACAGGATGCGCGAGTAGATATCACTTTCACTGCTTGGTTCCTCCACTGACTTCTCGTCCTAGTGGAGGGTGGTATTGCAAGAATCACAAAGTTGAATCAATATGGCTCTCGAGTGCTGAATGCGGGAATGGTGGTCAGATGTATTACGTGAAGTGGAGAGGTCGTGCTCACCTTTATGATAGCGTGCTCAGTGAAGCCGTAGTAGCGAAGCTGGCATCGAAGAAGCTGACTCATCTAAAGAGGAATGGAAAGGTATTTGCTTGTTTTTTGGATGCTTCTAAAGTCTGACATGCAGCATTGCAGTTGCTAGAGTGGCAGCCGAGCTGGACAGTGCCAGAACGAGTCATAGGAATGCGACAAAATGATTCGCAGGAGATAGAATGGCTTGTGAAATGGACTCAACTCGGTTACGAACAATCCACATGGGAGTCTGCCTCTGCAAGATTTTTATTGGAGGAAAAAGGGCGGCTTTTGATCGATGTGTATGAGAAGTGGTGTGAAGTAGCGCGGCTGCGGGCTCGAGCTCCTCAGGCCGACAAGGTAACAATGTTTGCGTTCATACGAATGATAACATTTTCTCTTACAGGTTTCTGAAAAATGTGCGCGGCTTATAAAGCAACCTTCTTGGCTACAAAGTGTTTCTTTGCAAGACCATCAGCTGGAAATGCTAAACAATCTTCGCGATTGCTGGTGTAAGCAGAAGGGAGGCATTGTCTTAAGTAATCCAATCCAGGTACATGGGCTATTTGTGTCCCGGCGTGATTAACTCGTTTTGCAGGAAGAACCAGTTCCGGTTGTAGCCTTCTCAATCTCTTTGTGTCGGGAATTCAGAACAAAGGAGCCCATACTGGTGGTGACTTCTCCAGAGATGCTGCCGTTTTGGGAGAAGAAGCTTAAAGAGTGGACACTTGATCTCAACGTAGTTATGTACTGTGGCACTCCTAATAGTAGGTACTTCATTCGACAGCATGAGTTCTCTCTGATCGAAGGCTGCGTCAAGCTACACATCGTGGTAACCACGTTGGATGTTGTGGGCTCGGTAAGCTTCCCCTTTTTATTTTTTAATAACCATTTTCATAATCAATGCAGGATGTGGATGTGGACTTTCTTAAAGGGTTTAAGTGGTCCTGTCTATTAATTCATGACTCTCGTCGAGCTCGGAGAAGTATATACGAAAATTTGGCGAAGGTGTCTTCCAGTTTTTGTTTGCTTTTCTGTCCAGAGCCTTGGAAGGTAGTGTTTGCGTTGTCTCATTGTGTATACTCATTATTTCTTATCGTTCTCTCAGTGGGATTCCGAAGAGCGTCAACTTATTGCGGAAGTTCTTGGAAAAGATAAAAGCGTTGACTGGAAGGAGCTTGTGGCCTGCCAGTACAATGCTGAACCTGTGAATGATCTAAGGGAATATTGGGTTCCGGCGCAAATGTCCCCTGTGCAGGTTCATCAGTATTGTTTGCTCATTGTAAAACACTTTGAGCTTCTGCGGTCAGGCAATATGTCTCAGGGGGATAATATTCTTCACGAACTTGTTTCTGTGCTTCGAGATGTAAGTTTTTTTATGTAGTTATCTTCTGATAATATTCTCCTGTTTCTAGAGCAGTGTTGTAGTCATCCTTATTTGGTCTCGGAAACTTTGGCAAAATCTGTCGGGGAGCTCGTTCCTCAGGAGGAGTGGCTTAATGCGGGGATAAGAGCGAGTGGCAAATTGGAGCTTATGCACAAGATGCTCTCGCACTTTTATCTGAACAAAAAGAAAACCCTTATCATTGTCCAGGTATCAAAAGTTCATCTGCTTGAGTATTGTTTCATAATTTATATATTTTCTTTTTCAGAACACACGTTCCAAACAGCTCATGAACATTATTGATGATTATCTAAAGCAACAATTTGGCTCATATGGACGCATTGAGCGAGGAATGGATGCACAGGTTCGTCAGGCATCTCTCACAAGGTTCAACTCGCAGGACTCTAGCTGTTTTGCACTTCTTCTCGAGCGCGGTGCTGCTACATCTATTCCAAATCAGCTCACGGCCGTCGACGCGGTTTTTATCTACGACAGCGACTGGAACCCATGGAGTGACACAACGTGCATCCGAAAGCTTGGTCTCAACAACGTGACCGTGTATAGACTGTACAGCGGCCTCACTGTGGAGGAAAAGATTCTTGATGGAGCACGGGAGGATGTGGTGTCAAACGAACGCCAACTTAAGAATTTGAGCTTGAAAGCAATGCAAGAGATGCTTCGTTGGGGTGCGGCGGCTCTACTACAGATGGACGACTGGTGTACACAAAATGATGCAGTCACGGATCCAAGGATAGGATGGAATGGTGGAACGGTCCCAAACGAGATTGGCAAACAACTGTTTTCTCTAGATGACGATGAAGTGAAGGCTGTTTCTCTTGGCAACCACGGAACACG